TAAAACTAGCGCAGGTAAACAATTGAATTATTAAAACATTTTCTTTTCAAACCTTATGTTTACAGGTTTTCTTGTTCCTGTTTCGTTTTAGTTTGTTGTTTCGTTTTAGTTTCTGTTATATTCAATTATTTTAGATTTGTGTGTACAATATTAATAGAAAATTTAAGGGTCTCTTTTCCAGATCCACATTTTTTAAAAACTTATAATAAAGGAAACATGTTAAAACTGAGAGAGTCCACGTTTTTTTTTTCATTTACCTACTAGTATCATATTTTTTCAACTGCAGGATCCGGATTCATGTATATATAAAACCGTTGTGAAATAAACAAAAATTATCATTACCTTACCTAATATATAAATTTTAATTAGGCATTTTGAACTGTTTCACGATTTATTTTGTGCTTTTGCTTGGTCATGAAACAGTCGAACTGTTGACCGGGCCACAGAATGAACTGTTGCCTGGCTGAAATATCCATTATGACGTCATAATTTCCCTTACTTTACAGCTATATTACATTGAATTATGTATAAAATAAAGCAATTTATTGGCATTCAATTTGAAATTATCATCTGAAAAGTAATCCTGATATCTATTTAAATATATGTTTAATTTTTTTTTAATTCATAGAATTTAGTTTTGCTTTCACATTTACAGACTATATACAATAGATTTGTTTACATTCAATACATACATATACTATATAATTTTTCTTCCATGTTATTTATATTATATACTTAATACAAATTCTCTTTGGTAAATTCTAAATACAAATTCATTTCATAAAGTTGCAAAAAATATATGACATTCATGTATATTATGAAACCTTCATTGTGAAAACTTTATATACAAAGAAGTAAACAAAGGGGAGGGGTGAGGAAGGAAAAACAAAGTGAAGTGGGGGAACCGTTTTCACTATTTTACCATACTGGTACATCTGAGTATAAATTTAAAGAACATTATAGCATATCACAAATAATTTTCCAGTTCTTTTCATATTCCGAAAATTTACAATTTCTTAAAAGAATAGCCTTTTCAACTAGTATTCTTATATATGTTTATATATGTTTGATTTAATATCACTTCAAAGAAGAGGCCAAGAACACTTTCCAAAGGTAGTTTGGGAAAAATGTTTGACCCTTCAATCATTATAGATCTTTGCGTTAAAACTCCAACTAAGCATGTTGTATTCAAACCTTCAAGACATTATTATTGTTTACAAATGAGGCACTGATAAATTGATATTTTATTAATGTATTGTTTTTAAACCAATCGGCGTGAGAATTTGATTATGGTCTATTGTTTAGTTTGGTTTCAAGAAATAAAACTTTTGCCGATTTATTCTAAAATCCATTGATTATTATGTCTATATCATCATTTTAAGAAATTATATAGTAGGTTAGGTAATAAAACACTTATTTTATGACAACTCGGGAAACTGTCAAACTGTTGTCCCTCGATAATGGGGAAAACCAGGGAATCTGTTGCCCTCGGCCTTCAGCCATGGGCAACAGTTTCCCAGCTCTTCCCCATTACCTCGGGACAACAGTTTGACTGTCCCCCTCTTAGTCATGAAATAAGTGTATATTATTACCTAACCTACTATAATAATTATAATTAGGCATATTGAACTGTTTCACGGTTTAATTTATGTTTTTGCGTGATCATGAAACAGTGAACTGTGGACCGGGCCACAGAATGAACTGATGCCTGTTTAAAACGTCATCGTGATATTCAATAGTTTTGATGATCACATTACTATTTACCTGCTCTATAATTAATTAAATTGAAATAAAACACACAAACAATCAATTTGTTAAGTATTACTTTAAATTATTAAATATCAATTTAATCTTTATATTATGTGTTCAGCTAATTAATGGACAAGTATGTGAATTAACAATTGTTTAAACTTTTTATATTTTGTTTTTGTGTTTTTTGTTCCAATTTAATTCATTATATAGTAGGTTAGGTAATTAAACACTTATTCAATGACAACTCGATGAAACAGTAAAACTGTTGTTCCTCGGAAGTGGGGGAGACCTGGGAAACTGCCCCCCAATTTGACTGTTTACCTCGTAGTCATTAAATAAGTGTAAACTAGGTCCAGAGAAGCATTCTAAGTTTTCACAATCAGGAGTTGACCTCTTTTCAAATGTATTAATCCATCATAAATAAAAAGGATAATAAGAAATAAATGTTTTTACAAAGTCTGTATCCTAAGAAATAGAGTACATATTTAATATTAGAATCATATATTATATTTGAAAGTGAAAATAAAACATTGGATGTGATAAATTTGGGCACACGCTACTAATTTTTCATTATGGTCATTTTAGTATTCGGCATGGTGGGGGTGGACCTGAAAATGATCTTTTTTTTTCAGAAGAGTCAAATTACGTCACCAAATTGATTGCTAGTATTTGGTATGACCTCCCCGCGAGGCCTTGCAGCGCAGACCCATGCTTCCAAAAGCCGTCCAAGGCTAGCCTGAGAAAGCTGTTGCAATTCCTCCTTTAATGCTGTCTGAAGCTCCCGTCGAGTTTGCAGAAGTGTAAGACGAACTGAAATGCGTTGCTAAAGGATGCAGAGCATGCTCTACATATGAATAATTTCTTAAACAAGGTAAATTATTGACAAGCAAGTTGATTAAACAAGAATATCAGCAGCATCGTTTAAAGTCATCATTTCGCAAGTTCTATGGTCAATACAATGACCTTATCAGCAAATACAATTTATCATTGAGTCAAATGCTGACTGATGTTTTTCATACTTATAGTTTGTCCATTATTTAAACACTGCATTAACGACGGATTTTACCGTTATTTCACGATTATGACAAGGAGCACAAAGCGGGCGTGACCGGTCAGCTGAAGATGCTCACTCCCCAATGGCTCTGATCCCACCTCTGATGTTTTAGAGGTCCGTGTTTGCTCTGCTCCTATTTTTGTATTGTTTATGGACTTTGCTATTAAATACTGTTCTCCATATCCTTCATATCCTTCATGCAATTAGTCACAAATGTTTTGGGGGTAAATGTATACTATTTGTGAAGGAAACAAATTAATCGTTGTCATTTTAAGTAAAATAATTAACAAAATGTGCAAGAGGTACCATTTTAACGTTTAAATGTCCTGTAAGAAATAAAATCCAGTTTTTCAAACTCAAAAAAAGAAATAATTTTCAAAGGTTTTATGATGTCTTAAAATACCTGGTTATAACGTATGTGCTTAATACTGCTAAATGTTTCATTTATAATATTTGAAATTATCTTCAAGTTCTTAAAAGTTTAATTTTAAAATTGAACTATTGATTTACATCACTAAAGATTTATTTTGGCAAGTACGTCTAAAATTATTACAAGATTTGTTAGCTAGAACAATAGAATATTATAGTAAATGTGTTTTTTTAAAACCATTCTTCCCATTTTGTTAACAGGTTAAACAAAAAAACATTTTTTAGAAATAATTTTGTTTCTTCAAAATTAAAATAAAGATATCTAGGGTTTTCAAACAGAAACGCATTTATAATAAATGTCACTTAAATGCTACCTGTTTAGTTTGATGTTAGTAATTTTTTTAGTCGTTTCAAACCCATAAGTGCAGCGTTGTTGTATTTTTTAAAAGACAGTCGTGAGCAGATTATTCTATACAGATAGCTCGAGGATGATTGGACTGCCCGAAAGGGGAAGTTATAATGGATAGGAGTCCTTGTTCTTGCTTTTTATTATATACCTAATGTGTATCACTCAATTTTACCGTTGAATCGTTGATTTTACACTATCACGTGGTGTTGTTATCCGATTTTCCGGATCACCACACAATGATTTTCTAAATTCATATCATCATTCTCTGAAACTGATGACGTAGTACGCAGAAACATGACTTTGTTTTCTTGTGCGTTAAAAATTCCCTTGCTTTATGCTTTGGTTTATGTATAAATATTCTACAATTGATCTATAAAGTTTTATTTCGTTATATTAGGCTAATTATAAGGGGTATATAAAAAAATTATTATTAAAACAGTGACTTGATCCAAAGAGCCGCATCAAGTCTCGTTGACAGGCGCAGATCATCAGATCAAACTCGATGCTTCGCGACTCGTTAGATCTGATGATCCGCACCCCTTCGGATCAAGTTACTGTTATAGCAAGCGCAGCGAGGCGGTGCGAAGCCCCACTCGTGTAGCGAGCTCAATAGACTAACGTGTACGAACAGAGGAAATACGGGTTAAATCTGCACATTATTCCAAGATGTTTTTATCGTACCATGTGAAAAAATTTCAAACTCCCAATAATCCTCTTCAGTCCATAGCAACATGAAGGCTGAAAAATAGCACCAAATTAAAAACGTTCGACGATTTAATGCAATCTCGATGCCACATAACTATCGTTTGCGTTCTAAGTCAACAGGACTTTTTATTTGACGTCATACATGCGTCACGTAAACGGCTCGGGTATTTCTGATTTTGTCGGAACCTTCCGAAAAGTTCTAAATCTCGATCTCGATGCCTGGGAAGTAATTTCTTTTTATTCTTTCGTTTTCTAATGAATTGAGGATAGGCAGTGCAAGTAAAAGTTGTGTTAAGATTTTTGGTAGTAAATAATTACGGTCGCACCGTAGAGCATTTTAATAATATATATCATTTAAGGATCTATGTTCGTTAATAGATTTAACCTTTCAAATAATGAATACACAGGTAATTTACTCCCATTGTAAAATAGGAAAGTGTTTTCTTTGTCAACGAGCTGTAGAATTTTAATGTACCACGTGCACACATGACTTGTTTCTAAAGTGTGCAGAGAGACCGGAGATTGTTACTCCAAATAAATCATGGTCATATCCCAGAAAAAAAGTTTTAAAATATTATATGATTAGTATTAAAGTCTAAATGATGAGTAAGAAATCAATATCTATTTTGCAAAGAATTCATTTCTTAAGCTTTCTGTCCTTAACTGCTTTATTTTTTCTATTTCTTTCAGGAGATTCTGATCTTCTAAATCATGGGTTCATGTCCAAGCTCCCAGTGTAAGATACGGCAGTGTTCTCGGTGTCAGGGGGACACAGAATACTACTGTAACACGTGTAATCATGACCTGTGTCTACGGTGTAAAGAGAGACATGTTATTGATCTACACACCAAACACCAGTGTATATTACGACAGTGTATAGTACGACAGTGTTTTCAGTGTCAGGGGGACACAGAATTCCACTGTAACACGTGTAAACTTGACCTATGTCTACCGTGTAAAGAGGGACATGTTATAGATCTTGATACCATGTACCATGATGTTGTGATTTACCGGGAGAAATATAAATATATCCCAAGTTTAAGTCATCCAAAAAGAATGTATAATAAATATTGTAGTTCATGCAAACTTCCTTTGTGTTCTAAGTTTGAAAAACAAAAACACAAACGTCATGAAATGCTGAGCATTATAAAGGCGTATACAACCAACCGTGAACAATATAGAAACATTGTTCACAGAATCAGAGGCGAGATTCTATGCAAGAATCAGTTTCTTCTGGCAGATATTAAATCTGATTTAAAATCTGATAAAACAGATATCCTCAACTTTCAATTAAAGATTTCGAACAAAGCCCAGACACTGAAAGATCTCATTGTAACTGAGATGTACGCAGCTAATGTCAAATACAAACTTCTCATGATTCATAAATTACAACAACAGAAGAGAAAAATAAACAGACAATTTGCCAGCATAGAAAACCTTGATCACAGATTTGAACATTCAACAAACAGACCTTTAAAATTCCTCTATTTCATTAAAAACACGAATGTCCCAAAGATTAAAGACACTTGTAATTTTAAACCACTCTCTTTGCTCCCCCTGACAGAGGAAATCGAAATCAACGTTGAGGCTTTGGTTGAGTTCCTGAGTGAAATCCATATGATAGAAAGAGGTCAAAGACAAGTAAGAGATGAAGATCTGCTGGATCTGATGCCTACACCTGTGTTACATAAAACAGTGAAATTGAAACTTCCTGGTCATGTAACAAACATTTCACGTCTGAATTCAGAACAGATATGGATCACTACTAGTTCTATGCACGATTTTTCTACCTTGGCAGTCTTGACAAACGCAGAAGGGGACATTCTGCACCAGCTGAGAAGTGAAGCTTATTATGTTCGGTATTCCGAATATGGAGCACACACAGTAAATATTAGGGGTGAATTAATTTATATAGGCACTAGTAATAGTATTTACAAGCTTTCTAATGATAATAAAACACGGACTACATTGAAAAAAGGAACTGACCCGTTGAAGCCATTATGTGTCTATTCCTCCCACGTCGATGGACATCTACTCGTCGGAATGTTCAGTGTTTTTGAAAACATATGCACGATTAACCGATACAATAGCCTAGGACAATACATAAAAACAATACAACGTGATAAAAAGGGTCAGCAACTGTACAGGAAACCTAGTTACATAACAGAAAACCGCAATGGAGATGTTATTGTGTCTGATCGGTACCGTGGTGTAGTGGTGACAGATCGTGGAGGAGGACATCGCTTCTCCTACACCGGACCTCCATCTGGATCACGATCACGATTAGTACCACGCGGAATCTGTACTGACGCGCTGTCAAACATCCTGGTGTGTTATTGGATCACCAACACAGTACATATGATTGACAAGGACGGTCACTTCCTGTCAAATATTCTGACAGGAGAGCAAGGAATAAACAGACCACACAGTTTAAACTATGACAATAAATCTCATCTCCTTTGGGTTGGATCATGCGGATACAACCCACTGCGTGTATATAGATACATAAAAGAAAGTGCTTTCAGACAGGTAATTCTTGATGATTATTAGTTCATTAGATATATACAGGCTTGGGGCGAATTGCATAGTAAAATAATGTATTAACGGATTTTCCGGTTATATTACGATCAAGGCAAGTAGCAAACGGAGGGTTTGACCAGTCAGCAGGGGATGTTCACTCTTCCATGGCACCTGATCCCATATTTGATGTTTCGGAGGTCCATGTTTGCTCTGCTCCTATTTTGTTATGTTTTATGGACTTTGATATTGAATACTGTTTGTTATCTCTATACCCTTCTTCTTCCAGGCATGTTCAATGAATTTCAGGTCTAGAGAATGACTTGGCCGGTCCATACGCTAAGTTTTTTCACTTTCAATGTACTCGTTTACGATTCAGACTCATTATCGTCCATTAAAATCTCAGTTGATTTGATACGCAAGATCACGCTCTATGTATGAATGATTTCTAAAAAGAGTTAAATTATTGACAAGCAAGTTGATGAAACAAGAATATCAGCAGTCTCGTTTAAAGTAATCATTTTGTAAGTTCTATGGTCGATTCAATGATTTTGAAAGCAAAAACAATTTATCATTGAGTGAAATGCTGACTGGCGTTTTTCATACGGATTTTTACTTTTATTGTAAGTCCATTATTTATACACTGAATTGACGACGGACTTTTTAAATTAAAACAGAGTTCTGCAAAAATGCATACATGATCAATATACTAGACCTTACACTAAAAAAGTGTTACAAACCGCTTAAAGATTTATTGATTGTACATTGTTTAACGTCCCTCCCGAGAAATTTTAATGCAGATGAAGACGCCACCCGTTGCCGATAAATGTTGTCCTATGGTTTGCATTCAGGGCCTTCGAGCAGGGAGGGATCTTTTTACCAGTAACTGCTGCAACACGGGACCCCGGGTTATACAGTCTCATCCAAAGGACCGGTCTCCATGTAACTCAGGATGTTCATGAACCCGCGACGTAAGGATCAAAGAATACTTCGCATCTCTAGAGCAGACGTTCTTCTCATGTGGCCACGCGAACGACTATCAGCTGTTTATATAATGTTCCTAATTTCTTTATCATCTCTACTTTATTTAAAATAGATTGCTTGAAAATTGCTCCTAAATTAAATGTACGAGGGTTGTTAGAAAAGTTCGCGGACAAATTGATTTGCAGAGAATCTATCGTATACTGTGTCTATGTCTGATTAAATTCCTATCTTTTGTGTATTAGTATGTAAAAAATCAGGTCTATTTACTAAAATTTTGAAAATTAACAAAGATTTTTATTGTGCGGTCATGGAATTCACGGAGCAATCGCGTAACGTTCAGTGACGTGACAATCAGTCATTTCAAACCTATTAAGCTTTTCCATAGTTCTAAATATCTTTCGATCTTTAGACTTTCCTTTCTTTTTTTCTACTTAAAAATTAAATATCATTATCAAGGCATGCTACTTCTCTTATATATGGCAAGTCAAACGTTGCTATATTCGATCTTTTCCATTTGTATTATAAAATTTTTCATTGGTATTGTATAATTTTCCATTTGTATTGTATAATTCTTTTTTGTTTTCTATAATTTATATTTGTATTCAATATTTTTTATTTGTATTCTATAATTTTCCATTTGTATTGTATTAATTTTCATTTGTATTGTATAATTTTTATTTGCATTGTAAAATTTTCATTTGTATTCTAAAATATCTCATTTATATTGATTTCTATAATTTTTCATTTGTATTGTATTATTTTTCATTTGCATTATATATTTGGTTTAATCTAAACATATATTAGTCTTGTCTCAAGATCCCTTGCAATTCGTAATTGTCCCATGATCCCTTGCACTTCGTAATTGTACCATGATCCTTGCTCTTTGTTATCAGGGGTCATTGGGCAAGACTACGGACAATATGTGTAAATTTATAGTCTCGTTCAACCAGACCTTCGGCTGTCTCTGTAAAGAGAGCTGGTCGGAGATTTACGGAAACAGTCGAGCGTCGGCATGGTTGAACAGACTAGTAAACTTGCCGGGACATCTCGGGTATTACCAAATCCGATATAAAATTAGATTAAACCAATGAAATCCTTCGTAACAAACCAAAATCCCTCGGGTACAATGCAAATGAAAAATTATACAACATAAACAGATAAATGTAAAATATATAATACAAATAAAAAAATTTGCAGTACAAATGATTTCTTTTACAATATAAACAAGAACTGTCCGATAGTGACAAATTCCCCCGCTGGGTTCTTCAGAATAAGTGCAAATTCACAAATATTTATGGATCTATTAAGAGGTCTTCAATATTTTCTAACAAACAATTTGAGTAAATATATAATGCTCATTATATTTTTTTAATTAATGAAACTAAGGTGCAACCAAATAAAACATGAATACGAGGGTTGTCCAAAAACATCGAAGACAATCTTAATAACTTTTTTTTAACACGCAACCAATACTAACCAAATTTTGTATAGACATTATACATTTAATGTTCATAAAAATTTTGAATTCTTAAATATATATCTTTCATATTAATTATATTGGGACGATTTATATAAAGGCCGATATGGACTGTCGGCGCACGACCAAAATTCGGAATAATTTATGCATATAACTATTACAGTTGTTTTTATTTCCTTGTTACTATGTAAAACATTGATCTAAAATTTAAATCACTGAAACCAGAATCAAAATCTTAATAATATGTCAAATTGTCATATAAATAGCATTAGAAACAGACGACTGGTGACATGATTTTCTAAGTGTTGTTCGATTTGAGATTGATGAAAATGACGTCGTCGAACGCGTACCCGGCGCACGGAAATGTAATAAATTGTTTATGGTATGTTTAATATTCATCAGAGACGAGGGGGGGGGAGAAGAGTATCGAAAGGAATTACACACTATATTTTAATAGAAAAGTTGATATTTCTATAGTGTGAGATTCAGAGATAGTTTTTCCTCTATATCGGAAAAAAGTAAAGTATGTAAAGTAGATTACTGATTGTTTAACGTAGACATGTGGGAACGTTCTGGGCCATGAACGTCGTCAAACAAAGTGTATTCTCTGCTGCCTAAAATGTTAGGTAATCAACTTATTTAAAGTTTGACTAAAACTTGAATCTGCTTAAAAAAACTGACTGTAGTGAATTTGAAATATTCCTTTGGCAAGAGTGGTTTTTCACTATCAAAATATTAATTTGGATGTTAATAGCCTTATGTCATGTGAAGCAGAAAAAGAGACCATGACGTTATTAGAGACGTAAATAACACTTTCTTTCGTGCGCCGATGTACACTTACATGGTTTCTTTATTTTTTCATAGTTTTCTTATTAAATGTGGTATCGTCATGAAACTTAAAATACATGATCATAAAAATTACTCTTTGCTATGTCAAGAAAAGAAATTTGATTTAGCAAAGAGGAAATAAACTATGTTCCCTGTCTACGAGTTTTTGGGACAACCCAAGTACTAATACTTGGGATCTAATACCCAGGGATCTATCTTGGGTCCCCTATTATTTTTATTGTATATAAATGATCTCCCTTTACATGTAAATAGAACAGATATTGATATGTTTGCTGATGATGCAACCTTACATACATATCATAAAAATATAGAAGGTATTGAGAATGCCCTAAACTTGAATTTGTGTGAGATAGAAAATTGGTGTTCCAAAAATCAAATGGTGTTAAATACCAACAAGACAAAATGTATGCTCATGGGAACTCAACAAAGAAAATCAAGAATAAATTCCCCAGAACTAAATTTATACGCTTCAAACAAATTAATTGAAAATGTTGAATCCCAAAAGGTTATGGGAGTACATATTGATCATTCATTGCGCTATAATTATCATATTGACTCAGTTTGTAAATCTTTAACTTATAAATTGTATATTTTACGCAGAATTAAAAAAAACTTTCCTTACACACGAGAAAACTATTTTATAATGCATACATTCTGCCTTCTTTGAATTATTGTCTTACTATTTGGGGTAATGCACCAGGTGCTGGCATAGATAGAGTTTTTAAATTGCAAAAAAGGGCAGCCGGGATTATTCTAGATGTAGCTTATGATGCCCCTTCACCACCATTATTTGAAAAACTTGGATGGCTGACCATTTATGAGTTAATTTATTTTCATAAATATGTATTACTGTACGAAACACTTCATGGTATGGCACCAACATATTTAAGAGACTCCTTTGAATTTATTTCTTCTAATAGTTATGTTCTTAGATCTGAAACAAACTATGACCTTCATCTACCGAAATATCGAACAAATCAATTTAAAAATTCTTTTCATTATTCTGGTGTTCATTTATGGAACAAATTACCTTTGCATATCCGTTTCTCACCAACTGTACAAAATTTTCGTAAAAATGTAGAAAAATTCATTATAACATGTCGAAACTAAAAGTTATATAATTTCATGTTCTTGAATCGATCTGTATATGTACTTGTATTTTCACGTCATGTTGTATTATTTATCATAATATTGTACGATGTTTTTAAAATTGTATTATTGTGGATGTGGTGAGAGGGCCCCGAGGAAGACTAGTGCACTGCACTAATCTGGTTACCCTCTTTAAAAAAAGTATTATTATTAATAATACATTGTAACAGTTTTTTTTTTTATTTCATTGAAAAATAAAATGCAACTATTTGTCATGATACTCTGAAAATTGATTGGTGAAAAAAAACATTATACGGAATCAAATAAATCTATATAATTTATATCAAATTCATTTTAAAAATAATTAAGTGTACCGCCTAAGCATGATACTCCCGTCAAATATTGTTCATTCAATTATTATAAACAGTCTAGAGTGCAAGAAAATCATGTCAACCTTTAAGAGGATTTCCATAATTTTTTTTCATTCCATCATTATTGTTTAAACATCTCCTGTGGTGTAAGCATAAATTTATAATATAACAAAAATCGTCAACTGGTTGCATTATAGCTAGACAAATGCCCCTCCTCCACAAGCATACACACACGCACAAGATGATATGAAATTGGTCACATG